TGTAAACTGGACTTAATAAACCAAGTTTTAACAAACTGCACAATCTACAAAAAATCCTTGGCATTCTGAAAGAAACATCTGTCCAAAGTGTATGATAAATATTAACATCTCTCTGAATTGCAGGAGTTAAACATGTTTTTAAGTACTTCTTAAATATGTATGAAAACTAAATAAATGCAAAATTGCCCTTTTGCCATATTGAAAGTTAACATTAGTTATTGAATTATTAATTGAATTAATATTCAATTTAGAACAATAGTTTTTTTTTTAAAATCCCTCCATGCAGTTTTGCTGTTGTCCAAGAAGATAAATGATTTCAAGAAACAGAAGCTAGCAAAAAGCATGGAAAGGACAAAATTATTGATGATATATGTTAAAAGAACTACAGCTAGCTTTAGGAGCCAAACACTTTTACATAGTAGCAACAAGTCTTTCAAGGAAATATGTTTAGAATCTTGAGGGAAAAAAGCAGCTGCTTCTCATAAATATGGATTCATGCTGTGAATAATAAAGAGAAAAATGATAATACAAAGGAAGGGAGAAAATAATGATGCAAAAGGAGACAGGAATCCTTTCAGTTTAATATAGAATGGAAATAGGCAAGCAAACTAATATGTAAGCTATCTATATTATTAAAACTATAGGAATTTGGCTCTACTGAGACCCCTAAAATGAAGATTTCAAATGAAATAAAAGTATTATTTACTATTTTTATTTTTAAAAAGGAAACATGCCAGCTTTAAATACTTGACAGAGCAGCCCAGAACCTTATAAACCCTAAATTACTTACTCTAAAATAATCTCAAGAAAAATCTACTGTTTACGCATCCTCCCAAATTAAATTACAAGACTTCTGAGAGTACCATAGATATATTCTCCCCCCCCCAAAAAAAATATGAGAGTAGGTATAGACTACAACCCATGCCTATTTCAGCATGTTGGCTGAAGCAACTGGAGCTCTGGTTCTGCTCAAAGATTGTAACTGGGAGAGTAATAAAATCAAACGAAAGAAAATAAGAATGAAAACAGTTTGGTTAAGAGAGACAAAGAGTCATAGATCCCAAGATATGAATCCAAAATTTCTTGGCTCATTCTTAATATTCAAGCGTTTGTTTTAGAGAAAGTAAAAAAAAAGTGTACATCATCTGCCATTAGAGATAAACAGTGGAATATAAAAAGGCTATTAAAATTTAGAATGCTTAATTTAGTTTTTAGCATCATATATATTTCTTGTATAAAAATTACAATATAAACTTAAAAACTATAAATGCCTATGGAGATTCTCAGTCATCCACGTCATGGATGTCCCAAAGGTGCTTTTTCAAAAAGTTCAAGGAAAACCAAAGTCCAGTTGCCTTTTGAAAAAGCAACTTTGGTTAAAAACTATAACATACAGCTCATAAATCACATTTTAAGAAGCAGACTCTATTGGTGGATTCTTCCAAAGTAAGCATATCAGACTTTCTAAAGCGCTAGATGGCAATCTTTCACTTTAGTAAGTTATCTCAATAATAAAATATTCTGCCTTGCTGAGATAGTCAAAAAAATCTAGGTGAAGTAAATAATTCTAAACTTAATTCCACAAAAACTGAAGCCTCGCTAATGCCAAAGAAAAATTCAAGCGGTGATTATGTTTTAAGGTCAATGGGGCTTCATGATGCTGATTTTTTATTGAATTGTGCTATCTTAAAAAAATATCCCCTTAAATTATTTGATGGGAATGAAGCTGATACTGCCATGTTTTTTATTATGGATTAAGCTTTGTTGCAAAAATGATGCATACATTTTAACGAAAAGTGAAGACATGAACTTTCTCAGAAATGACAGCATTTTCACATACAGCAATATAGCATATAGGGATATGCCATGATGATGTGCCCGATTTCATGGATTTGCAACCTGATTAGGTTTTCGTTGATGTAATGACAATATTATTAAATATGTTTAAAGAAAACATTATGTAGAACCATTCTAAGCCTGTTGTTGGTTGCTTTTGGTAATATTGCTCTTGCAGACACTGCGTATCTATAGTTCTCAACTATAGGGGAAAATCAGATCTTTTGTGACCTTATGCTACATATCACAATATAAGTTGAATTTTGTATGAAAAAATGCAAAACTATAGGATTCAGCACCATGCAAATTAATTATTGTTGCTTTGAGGAACAATGACAGGAAAATTAATATATTTTAATTTAGCTGAGTGGGCCCAATTGGCAAAACATAGCTCAGGACCGCATTGGTTGGAAACATGTGGAAGAGGCCTTATCCTGAATGGAAAGACAATGGCTAAAATGATGATGATGATGATGATGATGAACTTAGTTGAGTATCTTTTGTTCAGAACCATATCCAGAGGTTATGGTACCTATTTCCAAATATCCTATCTGAGTAAGAAATGTGTCACGTATCTTGCAATTGCAGAGCATCATTTATTTTAACATTGGCAACGCCTACCACAACCAATGGAGTTAGTGTTCTGTTGAAGCAGTTTAGCATTGGTGATATAGGCCCAAGGAGTAAAGGGTATTTTACGATAATGAAAACTTTCTACTGTCATTTAGTCTTAAGTTGTAGTGCAAAGCTGCTGTTTAGTTTCTCTGGAGCTTTGCTGGCTGTCCCTCTACCCTCAGCCCTTTTTCATGATTTTAGAAGCCTCAAGCACTCCAACCATTTTCTTCTGAAAACTGGGACAAATTTAAATTAATCTCACTTCAACTTAAATATGAGTTTTCTGTGCAAAAGAAAACGACAAACAAAAACCTCAAACTTATTTTTGTTACCTTGGTTTGGATTGCCAACATTTCATTTCTTTTGAAAGAGTTACTAGGTTTGCGTTAGCCATCCAGAAGCATAAAACTGTATGTCCTTACAGTGGAATATCAATGACAAAAATCTATTAAATCTTTTTCTTTGTTGCTTCTAAAAGCTATGCCTATATTATCAACACAACATAAAAATTTCTATAGAACTCTGTGGACATAGTTATGGAACATTATAATGTAGACTAGGCATTCTTGGATTGGTAAATTGTTCCAATATCTGCCTAATTGTTGGCAATCCAAAAGAATTCTTTGGAAAGGAAATTGTTATCTTAGAAGGAGCCAAGCAACATTTAACAGTAGCTTTAGCTCTGCAAAATCTCTTTAAGGAATTTAAAGCCTTTTGTGCAGAACAGGGAGAGGCACAGTGAGTTATTGCTTCCAATTTGGCTGAGTTTTCCTGGGAAGCCATAGAGGTTGGTTTCCCTTAAAAAAACTTGCTTATTTTAGAATACCCATTACATCAAACTATAGCTGAAGCAACCGGTCTTCTGATACCAGAATATTATCTTCTGATGGCTATTCTCTGTAAAGTTTAGAGCACAGCCAGAAATGCAGCAACCAGTTATATACTCTGCATGGATTGTAAACAAAGTGTATGAGATTTACAACTTTTACTGCAGTACTATAGAACTGCACTTTTCTACTCTATGAATGGCATGTTTAAAATAACGATAAAGACATTTCTTTGGGTAATCACGATTCAGGGCAAATTAAAATAAAACTGGGACAGAAAATAACTATTATTTGGAGTTGAATGCATGTTTATAACTATCATATTCTTGTTTGAATGACCAATATCCATAAAATATCCATAAAACACTAAAATTATGGGGAAAATTACTGTCACATCTAATATAAAGCATTATCTTTTTTCTTCTCCTAATGAATTAAAATGAAATAACCATCATTCCATAATTTTCTCAAAACCCCAAACTATCATTCCATAATTTTATCAAACCATTGATAACATCACAAATTTCCAGGGTAGTTATTATCAATCAGCAAAAGAATTAATACATTACTTTAACTGAGTTCCTCAATTGTCAAAGTGGGATCAGGCAAGCAGTGGCAACCATATAGGTTTATTTTGAAAACAAGCTAAATAAAATATATGGAAACCTTGGCACCAAAAATTCTATTGATTATTGATTTTTAGTAATACTGCATCACTGTGGAAGTTCAGAAGATTTCATTTGAAAGAACTAGAGGACAAGGTTCAAAAGTTGTAACTTAGCATCTCCTATCTATAATATTTTCCCCCAGAGTTGTATAACAACACATTCCATAAAACAATAAATCAGTAGGCTTAAGTGAATATAACATTGCTGAATTGTGACCAATAAATTCTAAAACTCTTGCAACGTATCAGCTACTCCCAATTCTCCGGAACTGAGATATGTTTGACTATACCATTGTTTACCTCTTTGAACTCACTAAAAAGGTATTAAAAGGACTTATGTTTAAAGCTTTTAATCATAGCAACTCTTACAAATATTGCTTCCAAATTCAGTCTTTTTTTACTCAACAGAACTTACTTCTAAGTAATTGAGTAAAAACTTGCAACCTAACCATGAGTGAAAAAGCCAGCCCAATGAGTTACTAAGTTAAGTACATAGATTGTGCCAATGGTCACTTTATTTGTTCCCTCTATTTCAGATTATGCTAAAGAATACGGATGAATGCAATAAACTAAGCTTGTGTGCTTCTTTCGACGTTTTGCCAGTTGGAATCCCACAAACGCTCTTTTTACTTACATGGACCCCCACCCCACCCCCAATAACTTGAATTTCCATCTTGTCAGAAAGCTAAGAAACGAAGGTTAAAAAAATAGGCTGATGACACTCTTCTGGATTTTTTGGGTACCTAGCAAAAATAGCGCCCCCATCAGTTTTCTTTCTTTTTTTCTTCACAAGGGGAAACAACTGTCGATTTGTCGTCTGAACCGTCCTTCACGCCACCTTAAAGGTAGGCCCTTTACTTTGCTCTTTCAAGGTGCTCTGATGAAAATTCGCAAACGATCTGCACTGTGTGGTACCAGTAGCAAAGGGTCGGTCGGTCGGTCGGTCGGTCGGGATGTGGCAGAGAGGAAAACCCGTCAGTGGGACGCGTGCCCGGCAGAGTTCCGCCGCGTGGCCACCGAGGGGGGGGGGTGTAAAAAAAAAAAGAGGGGCGCTCCTGCTCAGCCCTTGAGATACTCGGTCTTGAGACGGCTGAGGCGCGCACCGTGGCTCCGGACGGTGAGCGCCAGCAGCTCGTACTTGTCCCGCAGGCCCGCCGAGACGCTCAGCGTCTCCTTGAGGAGGGCCCGCGCATGCACCAGCATTCCCAGGAAGTCGTCGTTGAGGCGGCTCTCCTCGTGGCTCTCGTGCTCCTGGCCCTGCCGGAACTTGTTTTCCAGCTCGCCCAGCGACTTTTCCGAGTTGGCGTAGGCGTCGCCGATCTGCGTGGATTCCCTGCGCAGGTAGTCGCCGTAGCTCTCCTCGCCGTCCAGGTCGTAGGCGATGCTCTTCTGGATGCCTTCCAGCACGCGCGCCGTGTCCTCCACCTGCCGGCCCAGGACGGTGAATTCCTCGCGCAGCGTCAGAGCGGGCGCCGCCGCCGCCGCCGCCACCGCGGGATGCGAGCGCTCAGCCTCCCCGTTGGCTGTACAGCGCAGGCGGTCGCTCACCCTGAAAAGCAGCTGGCATTTCTCCGGGTCGTCGTTCTCCTCGTAGTCCCCGTCCGGCACGAAATAGTGATGCAGCGTCCCGTTGGACATCTCCGGGTAAAGCGGGCCGTCGAAATAGCCGTGGCACAAGCTGATCGAACAGCTCAGCAGCCACACCGAGCGGAGCCCCAGCAGCATCCCGGGTGGGGGGGTTGGGAGGGAGAGGGAAGCCAGCCGCCCGATAAACTTAAGCGTCCCGAAGTGGAGGGCAAAGGCAACTCCGGTCGCGCCTGGTTCAAGTCCTCTGGTTGTAACCGCCCTTCGTGTAGGGCTTCATTGGGACCCGGTGGGAAAGCGGTCGCTTGGCCCTTCTCGCTCCCCGCAGAGAGTTCTCCGTTGCACCCGGTTTGCCCGCGAGAACTTCGTTTTTCCCGGGAAGGGGGTGGTTGGGGAAGATCAACAAACCTTAAGGAGGAGCCTCTGGCTTCTTTCCCACCAACTTTCCTTAACCACGTTTTCCTTTCTCCTGTCTCTCCACGCGCGTTAGGAAACTTCCAAGTAAAAAAACGGGGAGGGAGAGAGGGCGTGCTTGAGTCCAGATTTGAGTGAGACCTGCCCGGAGTTGCTGCAACCGCTTTGGGCTACTTTTTTTTTTTTTTCCAGTTCTACATCTGGATTGGTGCTAACGCGGGACTCCAGCTTTTGGCCGTAGGATCTCTCTCTCTGTCTCTCTCCTCCTCCTCCTCTCAAATTACAGCAGTGGGCCCAGTTGCTTGTGGAGAAGCCCAGACACCAAGTTTGGAATGAATCCTTACCTCCATATCATTATTAAAGCTATAGTACCATCTCTGTTTGAAGAGCCCATGGTTCTAGAGGAGAGGACTTACCCATAGAAAAAGAAATCCCGTGCAAGGGGATCTTGTAAAGATTCTTTCATCAAATCAGTTTTTTGGTCAGGTTGATTTGATTTAGGAAAAAATGCCAGCAACCTGTTTCCAGCAGAAACTCCAAATGAGGCTGGTCAGCCTAGTTTTGAAGACCACAGTAGGATGCTGGTTTTTGAAAATGCAAGTTTAACATGTAATAAATAAATTGTTCAATAAGCTGAGTAAACTGAGTATTCTTTTCCTGGAATATCCTTGGGCTTGTGAAAGGGGTGCAGAAAAACCAACTAGAAAGTAACTTTTCTGGAATATTCAGTGAAATCATGAAATGGTCATGAAACCCAGAGTTGTGTGTTGTTTACAAAGTATAGCTTTTTAATTCTCAAAATAGAAATGATAGGAATTTAAGTGACAGAATAGTGCATCATAGAATAGACATGAATCATCCACACTGTACTAACAAATGTCCCCTACATCTTGTTCTGGATAGAATGGCCTGTGTTCCCACTTGTATTCTGTGCTGTAATCCAGGGGTCCCCAACCCTCGGGCCATGGACCAGTACCAGTCCATGGCCTGTTAGGAACTGGGCCACCCAACTGGAGGTAAGCCGCAGGCAAGCGAGCAAAGCTTCATCTGTATTTGCAGCCACTCTTCAGCAACTAGCATCACCGCCTCTGCTCCACCTCAGATCATCAAGCATTAGATTCTCATAGAAGTGTGAATCCTACTGTAAACTGCGCATGGGAGGAATCTAGCTTGCATGCTTCTCCTCCCCCCAGTCTGTGGAAATATTGTCTTCCATAAAACCAGGTTGGGGACCTCTGCTGTAACCAATAGAGTGATTTTCAACTGTGTTTGAATTCAGCTGTCATTTTCTTCTCAATCATCTCAAATCAAAAGACTTCTGTCCTTCCACTATATCCCAGCAACTTTGAACAAATATTTGTATGTTCCATTTATATCTCACATTTAATTCAAGAGTGCAAGTTGACATACAGTGATTACACTCTTCACATTTTCCCCCACTGTAGCAGCTCCGTGTGATAGGTTGGGCTGAGAGATTGCTTCCAAAAGACCCACTAGTTTCTGTGACTCAGGGTGCACTTGACCTGGATTTCCCAATGGACTATTCATTACTTAACCCATCACACTGATTTGTCTAGCAAGGTCCTGGATTGCTCATACTAAGCATTCTGCATCATTTAAATGTCTGGTGGGCAGAAGGGTTGGCTTACATCCTTCCTTACTTACTTATCACTATCTAAGCACACCTTAGCCAAATGGAGTAAGATCTCATGCTGTAAGTATTGGCACTATCAATAATTTGTTACCTATTTATTGAGCAAATTTGTATGGCTGCCCATTCACTCTCAGTGACTCTGGGTGGCTTACAGACATTGTAATTATCCTGGCATCTTCCCTTATATGCATCTTGTCCAGTACCTGACCCCAAAATGTTAAAGCTGGCAACAGTAAGTTTTTCAAAATGGGTCCAGGGTAGGAAGATCCAGGAAATGGCAGGCATTATACATTGAACTTAATACATGTGTTAGAAGGAGTATAAAATAATAATGTGCCATTCAACTAGTGGAATCTTTGTTTAAATGGAATTGTATTGCCTGATGGTAAGCAGAGCTCAAATACCTGTTGTGGGCAGGACAGAAGACACATTTTCTGGGATTATGGTAACATTTACAATCAGGTAATGTTACAGGTAGTCCTTGACTTACATCTAATTAGGACCAGATGTATGGTGCTAAGTGGATTGTTAAGGCGGTTGTTAAGCGAGTTGTGCCCAATTTTATGAACATGGTGACTAAGCGAATCATTGCAGGTAAGCAAAATCACACAGTCATTAAGGGAATCTGCCTTCTCCCATTGACTTTGCTTGTCGGAAGCCAGCTGGAAAGGTTCCAAATGATTACATGAGCCCAGGATGCTGCAACCATTGTAAATACATACCAGTTGCTAAGCACCCAAATTTTGATCATAAGACTGGGGATACCACAACAGGTGGGCAGGTTGTAAATAACTTTTTTCAGTGCTGCTGTAATTGAACAATCCAATGAATGGTTGTAAGGCAAGGACTACATATCTGGACATATCTGGAAGCTACTAAGATATTGTTACTTCAAATATGAGAGGTGAATGTACTTGGGAAGAATAGTTAAGAATTTGCTGGTATGGTAAGATTATACAGCAAGGGCTCAGATGTTTATTTGTGCTCCTCATCCATCAGATACTCCAGTTTTCTCTCCTTTTGAATCTCATTTATGATCCTTTTCAAAGCTCAGTGCTAGACATTTTTCTACCAAAATAGCAAGGCTTTTGTTAAACTTTCTAATCCTTACAATTATAAAATGAGTAACTACTGCCGTTTCAAAGGTCTATGAAGCTCTTTTGGTCCAAAATAACCCAAAGAGCCAGTTCTTCACTCTATTACAAACACTCTATTACAAACAGAGCTTCCCAGCAGAACTTAATAAGCAACGGATGGTTAAAAGCAGTTATGCTGACTTAATTGGTGTTCCCATACACACACACTTTTTTCTTTCTAGGATTCTTAATTTTCTTGATGGAATTTCTGGAAGGCAAAAAGCAAGCCTCACTCCTTCAGTCATAAAATTAATGGATTTTCATACAAAGATGCCTTTGCATGTTGCTTTGTGGCTGTAGTATACATCACATTTCTATGGGATTAAATTAAAAGAAGATGGTTTAAATAGCTAGCTAGTATGGCAAAGAACAAAGAAAATCTGTCTCTGGTGCTTTCTCAAGCAATATTAAACTAGGCTGCATTAAAAACAAAAGAAAGAGGAGAAGGAAAAAGCCAGGATCTATCTATCATCTATATAGTATTGATTAATTTGATTAATTCAGTGTCTAAGAGAGCCCCATCTCAAAGCAACCTAGGTAGCATGCAAGGGGGGTTAAAATGATAAGCAGAGTAAAATAAATAAATAAAAGAATGACACTATTGTCTACTGTTGAAGATTTTTTCTTAAAAAAATGACACATACACACACACACACCCATAGACATCCTACACACATATACATAAATCTACATACAGATAATATTTTATTTAACCGACCTATGGCAGCTAACCACTATACAGCTGTTTAAATACGCAATATTACATTATGAAATTTAATTTTTTTGGCTTAAATTCCTTAGGACAGCAAGAAGTTTGCTCTTGGGGCTGGTTTGTCCTCCAAGTGACACCACAGAAGTCAGTGCCCAGTTTTTTCATAGCAGAGACTAATGTTGCTACTGAAGTTGATGGAAACCGTGCAAGCTTTTTCGCCAAGAAAAGTGACCTCATGCTTTTTCTTTTTTTTCTATTTAAAACAGTTCATCTCCAGGACTTGGCCAGAAAAAAAAAAAAAAAAGCTATGTTGTTTTTCTACCATGCTTCATTTTGTTAGGATTGTGATAGGCAGATAAAGACTTGTTTCGGAACAAGGAGTTTTATTCCAGTGATTGAATTTTACACTTTGTTTTCTTTCCACCTGAATGCCCCCTGAATATGATAGACTGCCACTCCCATATTCCATCAAACAGCACAATTTGCCACCAGTACTAAAATGGAGTATGGTAGAGTTATATTTGGAAGGGATTTGTTTGTCATTGTTGCCTGATAGATTCCTAAAGGACTCAAAGGATTTTAAAACAACTCACCCAATATTTTCTCATAAGCCATTGGAACAATATGATTATATACAGAATGTTATATACAGAATATACAGAATACTATATACAGAATGTTAGTGCTGGCCCTCAGAAGCCGGGAAGGGCAGGTTGTGTAAACTTATAATGATAGACGCTTTGTTCACTTACCTTAATTATGTAGCCATTCTTTATGGTTAGACTGCATTATATAAAATTGGAGGCATGAATATATACATATTTCCCCAATAGGCTTTGAGAGCACAGTTTCATAAATATAAATTCTGCTGGTGGTTTCTTATAGCCAAGAATTTTGTTAAAGGGAGAGGGGATTTTTTGGCACTTGTATCTGAAATCCAAATAAAGCTTTATTAAATGACTCTGATGAGGTCATAAACTGCTTTCAGCATGGCCTCATAGCCATTTTGTGTTGGTTTCCTGTGACTTTTTTGTTTGCATTTTCATATTTAAAATACAATATTATTGTCTATTCAATTTGGGTCAGCCACTGGGACCAGGGGTTTCACCTTCCAAGCTTTCGGACTGGTGCTGGAGCCCATCTTCAGGGAATTTCTCTCTAGCAGAGTGTGTCCTGTTCCATGTGTGCTATTTATAGTGCCTGTTGTAAGTGGCTTTTTAGATGT